ACACACACACACACACACACATACTTATATACATAAATTAAATTAACGTCCTTCTTATTTATAGCAGGTTCAATCCGTACTAAGTACCCACCCTATCGCCTTCAAATAATTCTTTAATGTTAATTATGTTAAAAAATTATTTATTATAAATGCAAAAGTTAGCAGGCATCATGTATAGTGATTTCCAAACTAAACAGGGTAAATGATCTATATTAATTTATACTATTTATAATTAACTGAATTTTGTATTTAAATAAATGAATTGTTTTTATTCAAAATCAATTAATTCTAAACTTACAAGTTAGATTAGCAAACTTTATTCCCAAAACATAAAAAATATAACAAATATCTCATTAGTGTTGACAATATCTGGTCACCCTACAGGTACGCCGTGGATCATACACTGGTTGACGTCAAGCAAGTGTTCGGAAATTTTGCCCTGGACGTTTTGGCAACGTGCGCGTTTGGTATCGATTTGCGAGCCCAGAATGAGCGTGATAATAATTTCATTTATAACGCCAAAACTGTGGTCAGTCAAGGCATATTTCGATATTTAATGGCGTTGCTATTGCCCAGGTCAGTTTATAACATGGTGGTATTGAGGTCTGGTAAAGGTCAATCACCCGATGAATACTTCCGTCAGTTGATTGACAGTATTATTAGCGACAGAAATAACGGCGAATTGTGTCACCAGTTTAAAGATTTTATTGCGTTATTATTGGAGGCGGAGGTCGACGATAATGACGGTAATGAATGTCGATTGTTTAAAATGGTTGCATATTAGGTTCCAGGCCATTTGACATAATTACCAATCTGCAAAAAATATGTCTCATATATACTTAAATAATTTTATGATAAACAAGCTAGTCAAAATTTAATGATTGTAGGCACAACCTATACCTAACCAAGCATACTCCTATTTAAAATGATTAATTCATTAAATTATTAAGTTTTTTAGAAAATCGTCCGGTCCCATTTATAATGTGATTTACAATTAAGCTATGCCAATTGCCTATTGTTATAATTGTAACCAAGGGTACTGTAATACAATAATACTGTAACGTATATTATTTACTAAATATCACATATAAAAAATATATAATTTATTAAAATTACCCTCACACAAAAATATAGCCACAAACGGGTCGACACCTAACTCTCAGCCAAACCGTAAACGAATAACAAGCGACGAAATCGTCGCCAATATATACGCCTTTCTGATCGTCGGCTTCGACACCATTTCAAACACCCTGTCGTTCGCCGCATACGAGTTGGCGCGCAATCCCGACGCCCAGCGGCGGCTGTACGACGAGATTATTGCCACCTCGCGAGCCTCGCCACCAGCAGAGGGCGCGCCGATTGTCGGCTACGACCAGTTACCGGAAATGCCGTTTTTGGACGCCATCGTATCGGAGACCCTACGACTGCACCCGAGCTCACTGTTCCTCAACCGGTGCCCATCGATGCCATACACCGTCGCCGATATGGGCCTCACCATCGACGCCGGACAGCCGGTCGAGATATTGGTGTACGCCGTGCACCACATGGCCGAGTACTACCCGGAACCGTATCGGTTTGACCCTGATCGATTTATGCCGTTAAACCGCAATAAGGTACAGCCCTATACGTACCTACCGTTCGGGGGCGGACCCCGAAATTGCGTGTCCATGAGGTTCGCCATTTTGGTGATCAAGTTGACGTTAATCGAGATGGTCGTCCGGTACCGGTTTGACGGCACCGGTAGCTCGTTATCGTTGGCGCGCAGTCCCACACACCATACACTCGACAGATGTATGGTTCGATTCGAGAAAGGACTGTAATTTTCAAATTTAAAAAATATAATTATTTTATTATTTGTCTTAAATGAGCCAGATTATCTATTAATTGTACACAAGATATTACAATTTTTAAAAATGTACTTTATTGATTACAGTAAAAATAATAATATTTTATTAACAAATTAACATTATTATTTATGTTTAATTTCCAAACTATTTGAATCTATTCATCGTAAAAGCATTATCTCGGTAATGTATTCCTACTTGCAATGCTCGCTGAGAATACAATGTTTAATAGTAAATTAATTATTTTAAAAGTATTACCACAAAAGTAATACTTAGAGTATTTATTATAAATAATCATTTATCTAAAAATTTTGAAATTAACATTAAGTTGAATATAGTTTTAATAATTAAATTACTGCGGTATTAAACATTGCATTTTCAGAGAGCATTGCAAGTAAGCATACTTTACCGAGATCTTTTCAAAACAAACTGGACAAATTATATATTAAATACAGATCTACCGAGTTAAGTGCTTTTACGATGAATAAATTCATTTGTCCAAAATGACCTATTACAAATAATTTTCATTAATAAAACGATGGACATAAGTGACGGTTTTATACAATAATACAAATGTTTTGTATGGTTTAATTTCGTACACCACAACTGACTAACATTAATCGCGTATCGTAAACTACCTATGCTGATTTTTTATGTAGCCACATTTATATTTAATAATTAATGTTTTATTACAAATTAAACAATGATACGCAAGGTGAATTAAATTCCCAATAAATATTTGAATAATAAATAATCATTTTATTAATTTAATTGTATCATTGTAATGTTTCCTTAGTGGTAATTTTAAATATTTAAAGGTATTGTACTGTATATTACTTTACTTTAAAATTGAATAGGTCAAATTCGATACAATTGGCTTGATAAATTATTATATTATTTATATCATTTTATTTAATCATTCTTGTTCAGTCATAGTTGGCTTGTGTAATTTATTTTCTAATAATCCTTAAAATTTAATAATAGTTTCTAGAATAATATATAAAATCCCATACTAGTTATACTATAGTACTATTGTATAGGTTTGTTAAACGAGTGCAGCGCCGCCATCGACCAAAATGATCGCTCCGGTAATAAATGACGACTTGTCAGAGGCCAGGTATGCCACCATTTCGGACACGTCATTGGTTTCCCCAATACGTGCCACTGGGAAAGTGGATTGACAGTAATTTTCGGTCATAGCCACCACATTGTCATCCATTATAGGCGTACGAATAGGTCCTGGTCTATAAATATCAAATGTACGTTGATTGGTTTATGAGCTTTAATTTTATTCATGGTATGTATTATCATAATAAACAGCGATGATAATTAATACCGAGTAGTTGTCTGTATATAAGTGAATACAATTTATTCATAAATAATTTCAAAAGTCAACCACATTAATCCAGCTCATTCAAATAAAACCTATTGTAACCTATTGTTAACAATTATCCCCGTATTTGATTTAACCAAGTTAAAAAAATTATGTTAAAATGTAATAAGAAATGTCCACAGAATACTAACGCAATTCCATTTACACGAACGCCTTTTGGGCCCAGATCAATTGCCAAACATCTGGTAAACATGTCCAGGGCATTTTTAGCCATGGAATAGGCTATTGCCTCAACAGCCTACAAAAGATAATTATAGCCAACAAATAGCCTAATATATAGCATACCGGTCGTTGTCCGCCTAGACTCGAGATATTAATGATGACGCCTTTAGTCGCCTCGATATACGGCACCACTAAATGTGTCAACACTTGAATACACCTCAAGTCGCCGCTCATAACCTCATCAAACGTGTCGAGGTATGACCGGTCGTCAAAAGGGCTGATACGCATAATACCGGCGCTGTTGACTAGTATATCGATGCAACCGAACGCGGCTATAGTCTGGTCGACCAAATCCCGGACGTCTGTGTCCACGAGTAGGTCTGCCCTCACGCCCAGCACTTTGCCGCTGGAAACGAATCCGCATTTTTCGACCACCGCTTGAATGCGTCGCTCATCGCGACCGGTGACGACTACCCGCGCGCCCATTGACGACAGTTTTAGGGCAATCCCGGCGCCAATGCCCGACGACGAGCCTTACAATATGTTATAATTTTATTATATGATTAAATTGATTTTCAAATTCCGTGTGCTACAATTATACCTGTTATTATAGCTACTTTATTATACATACTTGTAACGCTTAACTTCAACGTATTATGTCTATGATAAATACAATTGTATTGTACGAGTAGAATATTCAATGTTTTTATAAACTGTGTATTCATCATATTTTTGTGTTTTTTAATTATAAAACGTACTGGAATATAATATCCACTTTATACTCCCCTCCCACTTATTTCTCATGACTCTGATTGCGGTTAAATTGCGAATCCTATAGAGTTTTGTAGTTAACATAGGGTGTAGAGTTGACATAAACATTTGTAGATATTGTTAGTATAAATGAATTTATAGTAACATTTAATTAATTACACTTAATATTTGAATTGAGATGTAGGGGAGAGAGAGAGAAAGAGAAAGAAAATATTATTTTTGTCCTTCCAATATCCTCATGACCTGCCTCAATTTTAGCAATTTATCCTCCCGAGCTATGAAAATAGGTGGCAATCCTACATAAGGTACTGTAAAGGTGACTTTAAAAATTTTCAAAGTTTTCATAAATATATTTATTTTACAAATTGCTATTCTTTACTATACTGTTTCTATAGTAAAATAATCAACTCACCAGTGTTTTTGTATTTAAACAAAAAGTTCAATTTTGTAGCTATTATGCGAGTCATGCTAACTGAGAATATTTTTAACAAAGTATTAGTACGACAACTATTATCAACAATATTATACCGTACACTACAAAAGTACCTGTATTATCTAACATAACTATAATATAAAGCAAATGTCGAAACGTATAGATTTGACGGGCAAAGTAGTGCTGATCACCGGCTCGAGCAGTGGTATCGGCGCCCAAACTGCCGTAGAGTTCGCCCGACACGGCGCTCAAGTGGTGGTCACTGGTCGCGAGGGTTACGGCGATGTGTCAGAAGTGGCCAAACAGTGTCGGGAAGTGTCGCCAAAACACTTACAACCGCTGGAAGTGGTGGCCGATGTCGGTGACGTTGGCGACTGTAGGCGACTGATTGGCACCACAATCGATACATTCACGCGAATCGACGTATTGGTGAACAACGCGGCTAAAGGTGTTCAGCGCCACATAACTGACCAGGATATTATGGCTCATTATGATGACTGTATGGACACAAACATGCGTTCAGTCGTACTGTTGACCCACTTATGTGCCCCACATTTGGCCAAAACTAACGGTGTTATCGTTAACATATCGAGCGCTATGTCTACTATACCCGTAAGTGAAACTCGTATATTATATTATATTATATATTTAATAAATATGTTTATATTTTTTAAATTTATATATGATACCCTCAAAAAATGGCCACGATAATCTACAAAAAAAATATTTACATATAGACAAGTGGGGGAAGCCTATACACAATGTTTAAGAGCGCTATCGATATGCTTACCAAATGTGTGGCACTCGAGTTGGCCCCCAATGGCATACGAGTCAATTCAGTCAAGTATTAATTTTTATAAATAAAACAATAGGGTCATTCAATAAATACGTAGCAAGGAATATTTTAATTTAAAAATCCACCCTTATTCATTCAAACTAATATATTATTCTGTTAACAACACCCATTCCCATCAGTTAGCAAGTACGTCTATATTGAGTATGATGTAAAAAATATTTTTTTGGCCTAGGTGCCCAATTTAAGGTCTCATATACTGTATGTTATACGTATTTATAGCCCGGGAGGTATCCACACGGCATTCGTAGAGGCCATGGGTTTCACGAAACAACAGTCGGATGCGGTTTGGGATTTAGCAGCGTCTGAGACGCCGATTGGACGGGTGGGTCAGCCCCTGGACATCGCCAACGCCGTGATATACATGGCGTCACCGGAAACGTCGTTTGTGACGGGAACGACATTTTATTGTGACGGCGGTTATGCCCTCAATCATTAATTTAAATATTAATTGTAGTGTTAAACTTATGGTTCATTCGCAAATTACGTACGCAACGATATAAGGGAGGTGACATGCAAAAGCACGTGTCATAATGTTAATTCTATATATAGGACCTGGTTTAATATTTTATTAAAAATTATACGTATATACTATGCGGCTGACCGTTTATCGGCTATGATCGGCCTGTTTCAATTTAATCAAAATATGTATTCTTATTAAGATTGACAATAAAACATGATTATATTTTAAGGTGTTTGATTAATTTAATATACTGTATAATTAGCGTGACCAGGGTCAAGTATTCCGCCTTGACTTTCAAGTATTTGAAGGTCAAGTCAAGGATCAAGGGAAGGGTAAATACTTGACATTAAAAGGTCAAGTATTTGCGAAATTGATATTATAAGACAAAATTTTATAAATTATTCGTTAAAACAATTTGAAAAATCAGTAAATTAATGCACATAATAGAGATAAATATTAAATACTTGAATGATAACACAAAACTGTAAATCTCACAAACTTTTCGAACATTTTAAAATAGTTGTTTCCCATAAATGTGAAATTATATTACTTATTATGAACTTCTAATTAAGAAATAATAACATTTAAACTTATATATTTAAACCCCTTATAATCATTATATTAAGATTATTTAAGATTAAATAATGTTTTATTTTTAAACAATACTGTATTTGTTTATTGCAGGTAATGGATTTATTTCATTAATGAAATTATCGTTGATTTTATATTAAATGTTAAATGAATTCCGATGACCACGCGTCAAATCTATATCAAAGGCTTATTTCATAATAGCTAAGTTAGTATAACAAATTTTACTTTAATAATATAATTAATTGTTTAAACAAGTAAATTTTAAACAAAATTTTCAAATGGGGATTTGTCAATACATTAAAATAAATGTCATTAAAACTTAAATAAAAATTAAGGTCAAGTATTTTCAAGTATTATTGTGTTATCTTTCAAGTGTTACAAGTTTTCGACCTGGTCACACTATGTATAATGTATAATGGTCGATATTTTCTACCCAAAAATGATTGGGATATAAGATCCCATTTCATTATCCCTTACTATTAATACTCGAGTCATTGTTTCGTAACTTAGGACTCATTCAATAAGTACGTACGCACTGGTTGGGGGAGTGAAGTCAGCCAAGGCATGCGTACACAATTTTAAAGTTCTATGTACAATGGACGTGTATGGGGGGAGGGGGTCAATTTATAGACAAATTTTGCGAACGTAGTTATTGAATGACCCTTACTCAGGTTTATAATTACGTATTATATTTTGTCAACCAATCACATAACTAATACTGTTTCTAACAATTACTTGCAATTTTATTTACTAATAATATTAATAGAAATATGTATTTTGATAAAATATTTTAAAAATTTATTAATTTTCAATGTAATTTGTTATTTATATTGGGTATAATAAGACCAACTAGTTGAAAATATTTATATAATTTAGTGGTAAGCTCAATTTCGGTTTCCAATCACAAAAATATGGCCATAAATTGGTATAACTCGTGGCTATTGTATTCGATGACCGCAATTAGTATTTCTATTTTTTCCGTTTATTTGTAAGTATACTCGCAATGTAAACGCTACTAACAAATAACTTATCGCTCATATATATAACTATAAATTATACATATATCTGGTCATTGGGAAGCAAATTCAGGATTATATATAGCAGAGACGTCAAAAATTTTTTAAATCGTCAAAATAGTGTTTTATAATATTAGCAAACATATTAACTATTCAAAACACTATTATTTTATGATTAACAAGTGACTATGAATTTCATTTTAAATAGTAATATGACTTAAACATATATTAAACACAAAATAATATTCAAATGATTAACATACTAGTAAGAATATTTTAAACATACATTAAAAATATTTGAGTAAATAA